AGACCTTGACAGGCTTTAGAGGTGTGCCTGTGCAAACCTCATGAAGTTCAACAAGGCCAAGTGCAAGGTCCTGCACGTGGGTCAGGGCAATCCCATGCACAAGTACAGGCTGGGCAGAGAATGGATTGAGAGCAGCCCTGAGGAAAAGGACTTGGGAGTTGAGTGATTGTTGATGTTGAGTTGAGTGATTGATTGATGAAGCATAGGATATTGCTAAATGTAATTAAAGTGGATTTAAAGAAGTAAAAAACTATATAGACTATCTTGACGCACTTGTGAAAGCATTCTCTGGTACCAGAAAAGTAAAAATCGCTTTATTTCTGATACTTCATTAAAAATATTAATCCACAACTCAAAGTGATAGCAAAGCATGCATACTTCAGGACAATGTGTTACTGATTTTTGAAACCACCCTTCAGAAAAAAGAATAATCATGTTTCAGCGTGTTTCTTATCAGAAAGACTTGCTTCAGAACTCAGAAGTTCTACAGGCTTATCCAGATGTTTTAAAAACATGGCTTCTTGACATACACAATTGCTTTGTTGCAAAAGCAGTTTTATTACAGTAGTCACTTCCATATTGACAGTTTGCTGGTCTGATCCAATTCTGATTCACTTTAGTGTGCCAAGATCAAAGCTGAAATGATTGATCAAGAAAAACATGATTTTTCTGAAATCAAGGGAAGATTTCTATGAAATGGAGAGAAGTGCAATGAATGCTAACAGAGGGCAAATAACATTATTTTTATAATTCACTTTTATATTTTGTGTCAGGGTATGCTACATTTTCTGATTCAAATTGCAGGTCTGTTTATGCGATGTGGATTTCTGTAGGTGCTTTTCACGTATTGAAATTAAAACTTCATGCAGTATATCCATAATATGTACTATTTTCATTAGGATTTTTGGTTCAAAGAGTCTACTGTACAAAATTTTGTTTCTTATCTTAATTATATGCTTAAGAGGTCTGTACATAGTACCTGCAAAACCACAGAGGTTCCACCAATATATTTATGATGGTTGTTTCCCTTTTTGGTTTTTTTTTTGCCCATGCAACCGCAGGACCCAGAAGTGAGCTGCTCTGCAAGGGTAAATGCTAGGAGAATATGAACACATGTCTGTGAAACAGGACAAAATGAGGAGCATCACCTGGGAACAAAGATAGTGTGGTGGGGTGTGTGAACATCAAAGCCATTCAACTTACCATAACCAGCTACTTAGAAAGTGCTCAGGCCTGGAAGAACACAGAAAAATATGGATATGGCCAAAGTGAGCAGATAGGCAAGGATAAAATTAAAAGTTATTTAATGTTAAGGGAGTCTCTTTAAACTCCTGCACCTTTCTTCTAATTCCTACACCTTCAGAAGATTTCCCCGTTTCTCCCTTAGTCACGTACTCAAATGCTTTGAGTGACACTCCCCACTCCAGTATTTTACTCCAGTCCCAGCACACAGTTCCTCCAGGGGCTGCGACATGCACAGCAGTGCTTTGTCCTGCATGAAAACCTGGGTGGAAATGCAGTGGCAACTTCCTTTACCTAACCCCTCGTTCTTCAGCCCGGAGGGAGCACAGCTGGGTATACTTGACAGATATGTGTCTGGACACACGGGCTGCTTTGAGATGTTTCTGTTGCACGTATATTTTTCCTATTCATTACCTTTTCATGTCTACCTGTGTTCATCAAAGTGTATGTTGAAGCTGACACCCGTGTAACAGGTTTTGTGGAACCTCTAGCTTTTTGCGTCAATTTGGCCTGGTACAGTCTCCACAAATGCCTTATCTGTCACAACTGGAGACTTTGCTTGCTACAGAAGTCCCTAATTTTCAGCGCAGAGACAGAACAAAACCACTTTCTGATAGATGGTCCGAAGTACAGAGCAGCAAGCTCTCTTCTCCATTCTGTTCGGTCTTTTTCCTTTCCATCTACTGGAGGCCATCACGTGCCTTACGAGGACAGTTCATTTCTCTGTAGAGATGTAAGGTCAGGATGCACGTTTCAAATGCAATTCCATGACAATCATGTTTTAGCTGCTAGTTCTCAACTGGTGCTCGTCTCCCTCTGTAGCCATTCACATGGTGTTGTGATGCTCCCTGTCAAAAACATCATTTTGATGGTTATATAAACTCAGACTTACAATAAAGTCTAACAGCCACGAAAACGCAACTCATTGCGCATTTATTACTATCACATCATAACAGAAACTGTCTTCTCTTCTGTTTTTTTAAAGTAAAAAATGATTGAAAAATGATTTTTCAGCCTTTCCTGTTCAGCACTGCAGTAAAGGACAGGACAATCACAGGATGATACTAAAGATGAAACACCACCACATATCCTTAAAGTAATTGTAAATCCATTTTTACATAACTTGCTATAAAATTTAAAATGAAACTATGTAAACTTTAAGTCTCTATCACTAAGAAAAAGTCAGAAACATTTTTAAATGGCATCTATGTTTTAAAAAAATGGGTTTCTATCAGCTAGATATGTGGCATATTTCGCAAGAGAAGTTTCATAGATTGAACATAAATATGGAAGTTACCATTTATGGCCTTTTATTGTTGAGAAAACACATAACATTATTTTGAAGAATTTACTGTATTTTTGAACAATGTATCTTTGAAAACTAAGAGGTAGCAACACAAAAGTTCTCTTCAGCAACATACTGCAAAATAAGTTTTAAATACCCACTTTAATATTCTTTGAAGTACAGACTTTCTAGGTGTTTGCTTTCTTAAATGTGTTCACGGTACATCTATAAATTGTATAAATGAATCAGCACACAAGTGTCTTCTATCCAAATGCCATCCCAAACTTTATAGTGAACGCTCATATGAAATAAATTGCTAGCTGTTATTTCTGCTCCTGTAAATAAAAGGAAGTTTTCAGCCCTTTTGTCCTAAATGATAAAAAGTGTGCCAACAATAAAAATCAGTTAAAAAAAAAAATCAGTTAACAAAAATTAAGCCTCTTTTCTCTACAAAAGCCCTTTAACAACATTTGCTATCAGAGTACCATGAAAGCTAAAGCAGAGTTACACCCTCAGTATGCATCACACAATCCAGGAAGCATTTAAACACGTAAGGCCGCATCAAAGCAGCAAATTCATTCTTCTATGAAGCAACCAGATCTAGAGGATAGGGAAAAGTGGAATCAAGACAAATAAAAGAAATAGACCTGACCAATTTATTAAACTCACAATTTAAAAAACAGCATGTTCCTGAACAGACTACTGGACAACCTGCAGTAACTCTTTCCAGATTTTTTTTATAAAGGTAAACAAATATCAATTCCAACCCAAATATTTTAGTTTGAATTTGGTACCACTTGTTCAAGGCATTCATCTGTTATTTGATCCGTTATCAAATTTCTGTTGCTTATGTATATTCAAGACTGTGATCAAGCCATACCTGTCAGATTGCAGTCCTTCCACGGTAAGACACATTTTCTTTACCCCCTTCTGCACTTTTTCAAATCTTTCTTGAATTGCTGACACTGATCAACATGCACATCTGACTAAATGTACCAGTACCAAACAAAAGGGAAACAGACTACATTTTATTCACATTTTTAAAAAAAATGTTCACTGACCCACAAAACTTCTGTACTAGTAGTTTTAATATTAGAAACCATTCTATGATAAGCATGTATTTAGGTTTCCTATCCATGAAGCCTATTAAAATCCTTTTCATAGAGGTCTTTCTACAAGAGGGCTTCTTATACTCCTCCTCTTCTCTGACCAGTCCTCTGAAGCCCAGTCTTTTGTATGGATGTATTATTTCACACTTTGCTTATATGAAAACCTATGGCGCAACAAACTATAGTGGAAGAAACTCAAGACTCTGCCTTTTCATATATACAAAATATGCATATATACATACAGATGCACGTTGAGAAGTACACGAATATTTACGCAAGCATTACAGACAGTTTGCACTTTACATATGGAAGAATGCTTTAAGGAATACTAGAAACCGTAAGATTCCTGGTGTACTCTTCTCTCACGTTACAGCTTCTAATTTTTGTTACATACTACAATCAAAACTCAGGCTGGTTTCGAAAAGGTTTGGACTAGGATTTATCGGTTATCCACTATATTAAATGGGCTGGGAACATCTTTTTCATGGTCTACATAGGTTGGCTCCTCTCCACCACTTCATCCCCTTTTGAAAACATTAATATATTTATGTGAAACGCCATCAACTAAGAACAAAACCAAAGCTAAAACCCCAAACTTTTCTCTGGGTAAAGCCCCAGTGCTTCTTCCTCAACTTCTGAGCACTGAATGGGTTGCATAGAGAGGCTGTGGTGTCTCCATCTTTGGGAGATATTCAAAAGCCATCTGGACATGGTCCTGGTCAAACAGCTCTAGGTGACCCTGCTTGAGAACGGGGACTTGGACAAGATGACCCCTCCAGAGGTCATTCCAACCTCCACTATTCTGTGATTCTAAACTCCTTTTGTTTGTAAAGCTGATTTTCCCCAGCATCTAAAAAGATTTGCGTTTAGTGATTAATACATCAAGAAACAATTTACTGCAACTATTCACACACAAAATTGTTTATTTACTATTTACAAGTATAAATACATTAATGCTACAAGCACTCTGTCATGTTCTTCCATTATCATGGCACCTTTGATAAGGATAACATATTATGCAAGTAAGATGCTGTAGCTTTACCAGGCACCTGTGCAGTCACTGCTGAAGTTTACCCACAACAAATATGGCACACGTTGTGAGTAATACTTATCCCATGTTCTATAAATCTTCAGTACTAAAAGCAACTGTACAGTTGATTGTTATACTTTTGGTCTTATAGACAGAAGACTTTTGTTATTTTTATTAAAGGATTAGTTGTTCATTTGGTCACAAGTCATAAAGGCCTTCTCACTTCAGTGTTTTACATCAACAACTTTTGGCTTTGCAGAGAACATTTCTTTCCCCCTCGCCAAGTCAACTGGGGAGCCATTGTCAGCAGATAGTGTTGATGATCTGAATTCCATCATTTCAGTTGCAAGACAACCTTCAAAAAGGAGAAAACGCAGGAGATTACAGTTGGATGAGACCAGAACTTAACGCAATCTAGGAAATACAGCTTTTTGCTTACTGTTACAGTATAATATGCAACTGTATAAACATGTCTTTCCTCTGGAAAATACACCATCCCCTCTGTCAGCTCTCTTACAACCTCACAAAACTACCACTTCCAATAGCTTTCTTTAGCACTTACTGCATGCAATCCATTCCTCAGCTCCCTGTAACCAAAAAGTTGAAAAGTTGAATGGTAATTTCCAGGTCCAGTGAGACTCTTTCCACGCAGAAGCAAAACCAAGGGACCATTTCTAGAGTGAATTCCTCCTTCTGCGCACATAAAACTAAGTAAGGAGATAACAACATCCCACAGCTTCCATACAAACCTTCAAGCAGAACAAAAGGCGTGTGGAAACTGAACTCTGTCCCAGAAGAATCCTTGTTTGCATAGTGTAGAGTTCATGACAAGCTACTATTTTTATTTAGTTTTGGAGGAAAAAATCCAGGGGAAAGCAAGCTGTTAAGGGCTCTCATTTCACGAGACCACCACCTACACTTGGACTAATGCATTCTTCTTACTGGGAGCTGCGTAGTTCTTCAGAAGTCTCACATTAGCCTCATTAAAGCAACTGGTAGACATACACTTAGTGTCTTTTTTAATTCAAAATATGAACAGTGCTATTATAACTTTGTATTTAACTCTATGACCTATAAATCTGTTTTTTTCCATTGTTACACACTAAAGATTTTTTCTAAATGTTGGCCTACGAATTCCACCTATAGCATCATAATATTACACAAAACGTCCGAAGAAACCCCTTACGTGCTAAATATTTTGAAGCAACTAGAAGCTGCTAACTTCTAAAACATGCTGGTACAACACTTTCACATCCATGCTGCAAGATGTCAGAGAAATCCATCTTCCAGAAAACAGACTTAATATTTGAAGAAATTTTCAGATTTAAAAAAAAACAAAACACAAAATACAATCGCTTTCCTTTGTAACAGAGCCAGAATTAATCTGAAAAGTACGGGAATGAGGACAGACTCCAGGGTTTGCAGTTATCACCAGAGTGCAAGTCAGACAACATTTCTTCACCTCACAATTTTTCTTAAAATCCTCACTTGCCTTAGTCTTTTTTATTAAGAAATCTAAGACACTCCAAATAACGTTTTACTTGGATTTTTCTTCTTGGGTTATTGTATTGGAATGTTTGTAACTTACTTCCTGATTTACTATGCCATGGCAATTAAAGCACTCAATTTCAACCAAACAAATCTCCCATATGTGTTCCCAGCCACTGAGATTTTATGATGGTGGGGGAACGCTGGAGTTCTCTCCAATCTTGCAAAATCAGCTCTCACCTGACACTGTCATTTCATTTGCTTCTCCTCCTGTTCTCACAAGGCTTCTTAATGGTGCCCTGAACAGACTATTACATCAGGATTCTAGTTACTTTTTAAAAAAATTATAGACTAAATTGTGCTAAAACCCCCTGAATTCTATCCAAGATAGTCTGCCTTATGTAAAGCTTTCTGTAAATTTATAGTCATTTTGTCAATGAATGATTTACTTTGCGTTTTCAGCAAGACACCCAGAACAATTTCGGTTAAAATAAACTCAGTACGTGAGAAGTCAGGAACAAAGGATGATACCAGTAAAAGCTACCTTATTAGCAGCTTCCAGTGCATTTATTAGGTTCTGCAACTCTTCTTTATTCATCTCTATCGAAATTGCTTTAATTTCACCATTTTCTCTCACATCCAAATCAAGATTGAGAAGTGGCATTTGCAGCATGGAGATCTTATCGCTGGAGAGAGCAAGCTATGCAGATTGATGAAACAATAACAATTGTGAAACAATAACAATTAATGGTTGAAGCCATTAAGTATTCAGTCTTTCATACCATCACATCTGCACTTTATATTCAATGTGTACTACCAGAACAAACACCAACATAACAAAATTAACTTCTCAAAAGTTATCTCTGCAGTTTTTGGTTTTGCCTTTTTTCCCCTCTGTCGTTGGGATTTTTGTCTGTTTGTTAATACCAACAATACACTGAAACACTAAAACCCCTCTTCATAGGAATACATTTGTCAAAACAATTTGTCAGAATTACTGGGCTGCTATATTTTTGTATTCTAGGTGAAAAGAAAGGATACATTTGATCATGGCTCTTTAAAAGTGAAGTATATGAATTCTGAAGTCAACATATTCAATAGTTCTGGTAATTAACAAGTAAGAAGGGTCCTACAGAAGGGGACAGTTGTGAGAAAGAGGACACCTTTGTGCATTTTTCAATTTTCTCTACAGCTGATCAAACACTGTTTGCCAGATATCCTTTTTGACAAACATTGATGAAGAGGATTATATATTAATTGTGCTTTCTTTTTTTGTTTACTATTATACTAAACTCTAGTATAAATAAGGCTTTTAAAATATATTAAAATCAAAGATCAGTTGATAGCACTGTAGGTCAGTATTGTACACCCTATCTTATTTATTTAGAGAGCAGAATGTAGTACCGCAGAGGAGAGACAATGTCATTGGTAGGATTCAACTGTGGAAGTGAAAAAAAGCACCACCAGTTGAGGGAGGAAAAAAAAAAAAAGGTGGTTTAAAGGAAAACGAACACAGTACTTCAGACATGTACCAGAAATATATTTGCTCTTGCAAAATCTTGTCTATTGCGGGCATTGCTCTTTGATTTCCAAAGCTGTTTGCTGCACAAATTATCTGGAGTTCTTGTTGAAATGGGAAACTATTTAACAGCTCTACAAATCTGCTTAACAGCTCCCATAGGCAACATCACTTACACTGTTTATATTTTAAGTCTTTGATGGAGCCTAATTTAAGGCAGCTGTCTTCATAACCCCAGAGCACCATCCAACTTTAAGCAACACAGTTATCACCGGCTCTATCAAAGTAAGTCTAGAGATAAATAATTTCAAACTAAATAATTGTTTATTGCAGGAATCAAAAAATTTGAAAAAAATTCAGGGAAACACATCCTGAATCAGTGTACTACTCTTAAAATTAGTATTTTTACTCAAAGGAAGAAGAAATATTGGTCTACTAAGCTTCAAAATCCTAACAGCATACAAAACATTCAGGTGTTCCTAAGCAATGCTCAATCTCTTTTTAGGAAAAAGAAGAGAGACGTATTGCAGCTTTAAAGGAAAGGAGGGAGGAAAAGAAATAATTTTAGGTTTACAGTTTATACAAATTTCTGGCAAGTCTTTGATGTGTTATCATGAATGTGCTTTTCTGATACCTATAAACATTGAACCATGCTCCAGAATGAGCAGACCTAAGGGGACTGTATCAATAATTACTTATGTGTTGTAGAACACTTCTTTCAAGCAACATTAAGGCAACACTCTCACCTTTAACTGCCAGTCAAAGTCCTGCAGCTGAGCAGAAGAGATTGCATTTACTCTTTCCACTAGCGCATTCCTGATTTCTTCTTTTCTGCCTTTTAGACATTTTGTGATTGCTTCTTGACAGTTTGAATTTAACTCATTTATCTGCTGAGCAGCCTACAAAAATAAAAATTGTGATTGCTTAAATGATGAACCACAGAAATAACACATACCACCTGTAATAGCTGTGCTCTGTAGATATCCAAGCTTCTATCCAGATAGCTGTTACACCGGACTCCATAGTCTCATCTTTCTTACACTGTCCTCAGTGGCTGCTCTCTGTGTTTGATAGCTAGAGTCAACATTACTACACCAACGTATAAACAAAAAAGTAATCTTCTTGTCATTTAAAGAGACCAGAGAATGGAGGCTTTATCAGCCTTCTTAGACCACCTTAAAATCAAAACAAAAATCACACACAGAAACAACACAGGTTTAGCTCTGAAAGTTTCTGAACATCAGAGTGGAGACAAAATACATTAGCTTAGCTGAAACAGACATACTGGTGTACTATGGCTACACAGGTATCCTTGTTTAATCTAGCTAATAGCAGGTAGTCAAAATACAAGCATGTGCCAAAGATGAAAATTAAGATTTCTAATAATGGAACAAGGTTTTGAAAAGTTTATACATATTGGAATTACACTCTCGGTCCCACATGATCCTCCATTCACAGTCTAGATTTTTATTTTTCCATTTACATACGGGCAATGTTTTAAAACACTTCGATGAAGAAGTAATAAACAAAGAAAGCTAAACAAGACTGTGAATTGTTTTTATTGCTAATTAATAGTTACATATTTTAAAGAAAACAGATTTAATTTGGTGGTAATTAAGATATCAATTTAAGTGACTAAACTAGTATTTTAACAAGTATTATCCAGTGCTATTTTAAAAAGTGTCAATTTCACTTTTTCTTTTAAAAGTCTTCACAGTGTATCTCTAAGTGCTGCTCACGTTCTACCTATTTAGGCTTAATCTGCTACTATTCAAATGCTACGCTATAAAAATACTTTATGACTATATAAACTACAAGACTAATCACTCCAGTATGACCTCTCGAGGTCAAGCCCAAACAGCAACAAGCTCTTACCTCTTCATCAGATATGTTTTTGCCAACTGTAGTTTTGAAATACGTCATTGTTTCTTCTAAAACCTCCATCCACTCCGACAAGCTCCAAATACTGCCATAATCCTGGTATCGAGGATATGCACGGCCACATATGCCATCAACTATTTTATGAAGGAACTGAAATAACGTGATACATAACTTAAGAACATGATTCTAACACAGTTAACCCACACCAGATATGCCGATCAGGCAATTTGGTTACCGCCCCTCCCTTCACTGGATACTGTCTCAGCGCTCCTCTGAGCACCGTCCCTGCACCATTCTAAAAAGTCATAAATAGGTAGTCTCTGAACAGGAATTGTCGTCCTCTCTCCCCCAAAGTCAATTTCACAAGGTTTGGCCACAGAAATCACAACATGATTCAGATTCAGCTTGGACTTAAGAGTTTTGTGCACGACTACAACGTAGTGCTGAGCAGGAGAGCTGCCACACCAAAGGGCACCTCAGTCATCTCTGCACTGGGATCGTCAGGA